GTAATGTTTACTCTGACCAAGGACTTTCTCAGTCTCATGCTCTGCCAGGGAGGAGGGGAAGCCAGGAGGAAGCAGAGACACGACACCTGACCCAAACTGGCCAAAGAGGTATTCCATACCACAGCATGTCGTGCCCAGTATATAAACTGGGGGGAGTTACCAGGAAGGCCAGATTCACTGCTTGGGTCAGGCTGGGTATCGGTCAGTGGGTGGTGAGCAATTGTATTCTCTCCCCTTGTTATTTCCCTTACCATTATTATTATTGGTGGTGGTAGTAGTGGTTTTGCATTATGCCTTAGTTACTGGACTGTTCTTATCTCAACCCGTGAGAGTTACATTCCTCCAATTCTTCTCCCTATCCCTCTGGGAGCAGGGGGAAGAAGAAGAGGGGAAGTGAGCGAGCGGCTGTGTGGTTCTGAGTTACCAGCTGAGCTTAAACCACGACAACAAGTAAGCAGACACAGCCACTAATTGCACAGACCAGAAACAATGTCTGGAAACCAGTAAATTAAATTTTCTTCTTATAATTTATTTCATTATGGCGAAGGACTGGCTGATTACTCAGATCAAACCAGCAAAAAGTCAAGTGAGAAAACATCCATTCTGTGCACCCTTTGTACATGCAAAGGAATCACAGATGTTTAAATTACTTCAACACCTAGTATAGCATGCTCTGTTACATCTTTGGATTGCATGAGTTATTTTTTCATATAAACTCTTTAATTCCTTGAGCGTAGCATGTATCAATCTCACTTAGTGAACACATTCTGTTGATTACAGTCTTAAAATGTAAAAATGCTAGAGGGACTTGATGGTCTTTTCTCTTCAGCCATCACTGATAGAAACTCACTTAATTTCACTGTCAACTGGGCTGCTTCCAAGTAAGTTTTGACCCTGTCCTTTCCTAGCGTTTTCTCTATTTCCTCTCACAACTAACGTGAAGAACAGTTAATTGCTATGACCCTTGCTGTCTTATTGCTATATAAATTCTTCATACTTGCACATCCAGCCTCCTTTCTAACTCTCTTCTTTTGCTCTTTTCTGTACTCTCCTCTCTTTGGATCTGTGGCAATTGCTCTTTGGGTTTCACTAAAGTGAAATGCAGTATATCTTGCTCCAAACCTGCTCTCAGTCACATCCAGATTGACCCACTTTCTGCTTACTTGTATTTATGCATACATAGCAAATACATCATGCTTTAAATAGTAATTGCTATTGTCATGAATACTGTTGATATGCACGGGGAGATACATTTCCTTCACTTACTTGTCTATTCCATAAATTCTGGTGACTGCAATATTCTCCAAAATGACCACAATAAGCAGTGGCAGAGTAGCTGAGTAGTCATCAAACATCGTCACAAAATAATTTCCAGAGCGCTGCACGAAAATCAGCCCAATCAAAAATGCTACCAAGCAGCAGATGACTGGAATAAAGGACAGAAATGAGAGCTGTAATTATAACAAAGTTCCACAGACAAAGAGGAAATAAGGAGAGTTCGAAACAGCAAGGATACACTTTAACTCATTATTTCATTATATTTCATATAATCAAAGTTTGAAATGCTTTGCTTTTTAGGGGATCTCAATTTTAAGAGTATTAGGAATCCTACCTATTCCCTACATAACGGACAAGTTGTTAAATTAGAATTACTGGAATTGCCGTATTGCAGCAATACTGATTACGCAGCAGAGATTAATCAAGTGACTATTTCTCATTAAACATTCAACTTCATGTGAAGCCACAGCTACATGAATCGCAAGGAAAAACAATCACAAACAGGTGTTCTTCCAGGAAAATTGCTGCTCCAGTCTCAAGTGAGCAGTGCCACAGACACAGTGGAAGGACTCCTGATCCTATGGAAAGGAATTCTGATCTGTTTTTACAAGAAGTGAATGCAGAATTCTATGACCTAGAAGGGCTCTGCTTCCAGCCACGTGGAGGAGAGGGACAACTGAGCTGACTGGACTGTGTGGATCAGATGGCCTGGCACATGAGTCCCACACGAGTATAAAGCTCTAGTAGACACCGGTGCACAGTGTACCCTGATGCCATCAAGGTATCAAGGGGTAGAACCCATCTGTATTTCTGGAGTGACAGGAGGATCCCAAGAGTTGGCTGTACTGGAGGCTGAAATCCTGACTGGGAATGAGTGGGAAAAGTATTCCATTGTGACTTCTTCAGAGGCTCCGTGCATCCTTGGCACAGACTCTCTCAGGAAAGGATGTTTCAGGGGGACTGGTGGGCTTTCAGTATAGCTGCTTTCAGTATAGCTGCCTTGGAGACTGAGGAACTTAATCTGATTTGGAAATACTTGAATGCAAAAAATCTTTAAGCTTATGAGTTCATTTCCCTGAGCTCAAGAGGGAGTGAACTGGAACCACAGTGCAAAAAATTGCAGATGTGCTTACAGTTCTGTAAAAATTGAAGATTTGTGGGTTGTAAGCCCAAACTCTAGTGCAGGCATAATCCTTACTGAATCGTACCAATACTGCATGAAGTATAACCCAGGCACTTTAGTTTTGTAAGTTAAGTACAAAAAACACTATACAGAATTGTAATCCTTTATGTACAACTGAGTTCAGCAAAAACTATGCATGCATACCACTCAAAAAAATTACAAGAGAAAGGCAGTTCTTTAATATACCTTTATCTTAATATATTTATTTCTCAATACAATTATAAGGAATTACTGTAAAATACTCCTTTATGCCAGAGTAATGGCTATATATCATAGTACTTGCATATAAAATTAGAAAGAACAGCTAGTTTCTAAGTGTTACACTGGTTATTCAGTAAGAATTAAAGAGCAACAAACAAACAAAGCCAAACAAACAACTGCTGAACTGATTTTTCAGAATTTTCTTCTAGCAAAGCAAAAAAAGAAGGAAAAAATGGTTTATGTTAAATATTATTTATTAATATAAGTAAGGTAAGGAAAGCAGTCAGGAAAGAGCAATGCTCTGCTGCATCCAGGGTTAGCTCTTAGAAAATATATTATTATTTCCTTCATAGAGTTAGATAATGTTAAAGCAGTTTATTATATTTTTAATTTTCTATTCTTCCTGTCACAGAAATTTGTGCACAACATACCAAGTCCTTTGCAGCTGTTCTGCAAATTTTCAGAAACTTAACTTTCACGTTTTATGCTGCCCTTCTATCTCAAAATGAGAAATTGCTTCAAGATGATCAAAGCTACATGAACAGGCTACACCTCAAATAACTTCAGGCCTTTAAATAAAAAACCCAAACAAAAAGACGTTTTGTTTAAGACTGAAAGTGCAGTCTGGAATACAGTGATTTACTGCTTTGTAAAATGTCAGCACTGAAATTTTCATGTCAAAAACCAAAAAATGATCATATGACCAGAAAAAATCTTAGCTTAACTCTCAACAGAAAGTTTGTGCAACTCACCAGTAAGAATTTCTTTCCTGACTTTGAAGGTATCAACAATGGGTGTGATGATGCCTTCAATGGTTCCAAACATACTTCCAAGTCCCAAATTTACTAACATGAGGAAGAACATGACTGACCAGAATGGAGAAGCAGGGAAGTGGGTCATTGCTTCTGTAAAGGCAATAAAAGCTAAACCAGTTCCTTGAACGGCCTGTCAGTAAGAAAAAATCCACATTATTATTCATGGACAGTATTTTGGGGTTTTCTTATTTGTTGGTGGGTTTTGTGTTTTGTTTTGTTGGGTTTTTTTGTGCAGTTTGACAGTCTGACTTCCTGTTCATACAATGTCATTGATTAAATCTTAAAGGTAGCTATCTAATATGTGATTCTTCCAAACCTTCAAACTTCATTAGTGCTGAATTTACTTAAACATTGGATTTGGCTAAGAATCTGTAAATTGAATGATACACATTTCTTTCAGAGAATCATGGAATACCAGGTAGGATGGGACCACAAGAATAATCTGGTTCAACCTTTCTCCTGTCAAAAGCATGGTCTAGA